AGAGGCCACCAGCAGGCATGACCTGGACCCCATCACCCTTTCCGACCAAAACAGCGGCAATAGGTAAGAATGCCGCGCTGATTGTAGGTGCGGGGAGCTCCTAGCCGCTCCTAGCCAACTGGCCTCCCGCATAGGAGTTCTTTGGCTTCCTGTCCAAAACTCCTTTGTGACCCATCCCCTCTTCCCTTGGCCCCCTCCCACTCCCCACATAGAAAAGGAAGCTGAGCTTGCTCACAAAAACTCCCACAGGCCACCACCGAAGCAACCAATCAACGTAAGGCCCTCGACCACTCTGCGGACCGAAGGGGGCAAACTACAGGTTGTGTTTTGTGGTGGGCGTGGCGGGCACGCCGTGGAGAGGGGCACAAAGCCCTCTCGTCCTCCCTCTTCAGTCTCCGCGGGAGACGGAGGGAGGGTCCCTGCGTCCCCCCGCGTCCGCAGCAAGCTTCGGAAGCTCCGGCGTGGGATGATGCTGCGGACCACTCGGCGTTTTAGCGAGGAAGTGAAATCCTGCGCTCGATGCATGGCGATCGCCGTGCTTCGGGAGGGCTCAGCCCATCCTCCCGGTTCTACTGCCCTCTGATGCAATACAGGCGTCTCGAAAGGCCTCGACTCACCCTCACGTTTAGCGCCCCAAGGAAGTGTATGATCCCCCGATGGCCCTATGGACCTTGGGGCACCCCGGGACCCCTACAGATCGACGAATAATTTGCTCCAAGATTTCTCATAGCATGATTGCTTCTCGTGTGTATACCGTAATGCACTTGAAGACCCCGCCTCGTGCGCGGGCTCTGCTTATGCTTCGCCTCGCTCACTGAAAGACCTTCGTGCGCAGGAAAAGACAAAACATACCTGTATGATCACCCCTCGGGTGATAAGGAAGTTGGAGGGGGGAAGGAAAACCGAAACCACCATCATTATCCCCATCGAGATCACTATCGATCTCACCGTCGATCTCACGAATGTAAAAAGATCTCACCATCGATCTCACTTTCGCTCTCGATATCGATCACACTGTCGATCTCACTATCGATCCCGGTATGGATCTCAGTATCGATCTCACAAGAGATCTCACGATCGACCTCACAAGGTATCAAGGAGACACCATCGGGCCCTTCGCCGTGCTGGCCGGGCCCTTCTGAGAAGCCCCCTGCCCTCTCAAAGGCCCCCCCCCTCGCCCGAATCCCGCCGCGCGCGCGACAAAATGAGGGCGGCCCCCGATTCGAACTGAGGCGTCCCTGCCCGCGCGCGGCGCTGGGCCCCCGCGCCCCTCCTCGCCGCGCCTGGGGTGGGCCGAGCCCACGCGCGGCATGTGCCGGCCGCCGCGCCGCCGCGCGGCGAGCGCCGCCGCGCGCGCGCGCCGCCGCCGCGCCGCGCGCGCCGCCGCGCCGCCGCGCCGCGCCGCGCGCGCCGCGCGCCGCCGCGGCCGCGCGCCGCGCCGCCGCCGCGGCGCAAGCTGGCTCGTCGAGGCCTGTGCGAGGCGGGGGTGGGCACACCCTGCCGCCGCTCGGACGTCCATGTCCCGTGCAATTTGTCGGTTTCGTGCGTGTTTTTGTTGCTCGATGGTCCAGGATGGTTTGGCGGCGCGCACAAGGGGGTGGGGGGAGGGGGAGGGCTTCTTAGAAGCAGGCTGCTTCTTAGAAGGCGCCGGCCTCACATCTATAGAGAAGGCCCGCGCCTTCCAAAGCAGGGGTGCTTCTGAGAAGCCCTCCCCCCTCCCCCACCCCCCTCTGCGCGTGGCTGAATGGTCCTCAAGGGTCCTCGCCGAGAAAAAAATACACACGTCCGAGCGATGCCAGCACACGTGCGCCGCCCGGGGAGCCGATCTCCGTCCCTGTCGGGCGTGCGGGCACCCTGCGTGCCCCTCCGCGGCCCCGCGGTGGCAGCTCGGGAACCGTGTGCGGGGCCCCTCGAGGGCCACGCTCCTGCAGGAGACCTCTCGAGGCCCCCACGGGCACTGCCCCCATCCTCCTCCTCCTCTTCTCCTCCTCCTTCCTCCTCCTCCTCCTCTTCCTCCTCCATCCTCCTCTTCCTTCTCCTCCTCCTCCTCCTCCTCCTTCCTCCTCCTCCTCCTCCTCCTCCTCCTCCTCCTCCTTCCTCCGCCTGTCATGGAACCCGTGTCGCCGTACGCCCAACCCTGGGAGATCGGTTCTCCACCGCCTCCTGGGGTCCTGGGCCATCGGCTGCCCAGGCGGCGGGCGTGGGTAGATCCCCGCCTCGGAACCCTGGCCAGGGGGTCAAACAATGGACGCCGGAGGTCGTCGCCCCTCGGCTTCGGCCTCCCGGGGGGCCATCAAAAGCTGGTCCGACTTGGAGCACTGGTCGTGGGACGCGCAAGGACATACTAGCACTGTGTGACCTCCTCGGAGGCGTGTGTCCGACCCGAACAGGTAGTACAGCCATACTAGAATATATCGTCTCCCGAGAGGCACGGCCGCTCAGAACCCGCAACGGAGCAGATACGCCGAGGTCAAGATGATGTCGTTGGGCGATGTGCTTCATCTTGGACAACTCTTGTGACCACCCACCAAACCACCCCAACCCAACCCGAAGGCTCAGATTTACCCTCGATTTCCAGTGGAGGGGGGGTCGGGAAACATCGACAAAGCACCTGTGGAACCCTTACACCCCCCCCAACCCGAAATTCGGGTCTTCGGGCTGGGTTGGGGTGGTCTGGTAGGCAGTCACCGTGCACGCCTCCACGGGCCTCTGGCTCCGAGGTGGAAGCAGAGCTTCCTGGCGTTTCCCCCTCCCCCCCCGTTAGATGCTCATTCTGGGGACCTTCCTGGAGCCACTCGCTCCACTCGTGCGTCGAAGCTGCGTCGAACCTGCGTCGAACCTGAGTCGAACCTGAGCCGAACCTGAGTCGAACCTGAGTCGAACCTGAGTCGAACCTGAGTCGAACCTGAGTCGAAGCTGAGTCGAACCTGAGTCGAACCTGAGTCGAATCTGAGTCGAACCCGAGTCGAACAGATCCAGTAGGTGGCCCCCAGGAAGGTCCCCAAAACGAGCATCGAACCCCCGTGCTCCGCCCCACGCCTCTGCCCCGTCCCAAATCCTCCCTTCAGTGTCTTACAGTCGGGGCCTTGACCTAAGGAACCCTAAATAACGAACGAGGCCACTTATTTCCATAAGTTAACCTTCGATTTCCTGTCGAAAACATAGGGAAAGCCTGAGGCAAGCTGTGAAACACTTAAGGAACGCGGAGCCCCTCCCCAACGAAAAGGGTTCCTTCTTCAGGGCCCCGACCGTACAGCTTGTCCTGGGTCGTCCTCGCGTCGTCCATGGGAAGTCAAAGTTTGTTCGACCCATGGAGGAAAAAAGGGGCCGCGCTCCTTGCTCGGGGTTCTCTCTATGGCAGCGTCTCGACCGTAACACCCTCGTCCCCAGCCCTGCCGGCTTGCCCACGCACGGGGCAGGCGGATGCCGAAGAGTGCGCAGCACGGTGCACAACGGGACGGACCCAGGGAGGAGGAAAGACTGCACCCCCGCCGCCCCCCTCGAGGGAGGACCCGGAGGCGAGCGCGGGGCCGCCAGGAGCGGCCCACGCCCCCCTCCTCCCACTCCTCCCCATCTGGGCTTCGAGCAGGGGAGCGATCACAGAATTGATCTACCCCAGAGTTGATCTGTTCGTCGGATCACTGAGAAATGCGCAGAGGGTTCGTAGATATACCAACATTCTACGTAGGAAGCGACGAGGAAACCGACTTACGGGGTGAATTAGTTACTCCAGATTTTGTAATAAAAGGGAGGGGGTCTCAACCCTCCCAGACGAGAAGTTTTAGACCCCCCCCCTGGGAGAACCCTCCAGAACATCGTCCCCAGACCCCCCCAGGCCCTCCAAGATAGCTTGGAAAAGACCCCCCCCCGAAATGAGACCCCCCTCCCTTTATTACGAAATCTGGAGTATGCAGTCGATCCTCTCTACTCAAGGAATGGGGATGGGCCATCGCCTGGTCCCTTCCCCCCTCCCAGACATCCGGTGTTTGTTTCTCTTAGCACGGGGTCCCCGAAATCACCCTTTCCCAAAGGCCGGTGCGCAATCCCGTGTCATTCTTGACGGTCCTAGAGCTTGGTGAGTTGGCGGCGCGCACAAGGGGGTGGAGGGAGGGGGAAGGCTTCTTAGAAGTAGGCTGCTTCTCAGAAGGCGCTGGCCTCACGTCTGCAGATGAGGCCCGCGCCTTCTGAGAAGCAGGGGTGCTTCTAAGACGCCTCCCCCCCCCTCCCCCGGCCCCCCTCTGCGCAGCCAGCATCGCCTGGCGATGCGCGCTGCCATGGCAGCGCACACGGCAAGGCTGCGCCGACCTCCGCCAGCGCTCTGCAGAGCACCGGAGCAGAGGCGCCCCCCGGCGCCCTCTGGTTAGGGAGCCCACAAAGGACGTACGCGCCCAGCTATGTGCATGAACACGGCCCCTCGATCCGCGAGACCCGCCGCGTTCTACGAACATCTGCGCAATGCGTACTCTCGAAACCAGCGTGGATTCATGTACAGGTACGTCCTTCTTTCGCTCCTGACTGGTGGAAGGCCGCCCCCCCCTCGCGAGAGACCGCCCTCCTCCTGCGCGGCCACGGGGCCACGACGGCCCCACAGCGCCGAGAGGCACCGGCGGTGCGCTGCACCCGGGAGCCTCTCGGAGCAGGGCGCCCTGCGGCAGCGGCAGCTCCGCATCGGCTCCCAGGCCCCTCCCGGGGTCCACACGCGCCAGTTTCCCGAGCTGCGTCCAGCCGTGGCGACGAGAGGGCCCCCCGAAGGCCAGCTGCCGATGTCTCCACTCCGCCCTCCTCGGAGCGCCCCCTCCACCCGAGGCCCCAAAGCGGAGGGGGGGGCCCTGACCGACGTGCCGACCCCTGCAGCTGCGCAAGGCCCGGGAGCTCTCGGCCCCCGCCACTCGCGCGGAGCTCGCCCGCTGCGTGGGGCGCCCGGGGTGGGCCTCCGGAGGCCCAAACTCGGAAGAGGCTGCCCACCTTGATGTTGGCAGGGCGACAGGAAACTCCTGAAAACCGCCGATGCGGGCGAGGGGCCACCAGAACTGCAGGCAAGCTGGAAAAAGCGGAAGGTGGAAACTCCACAGAGGACTGGGGTGGGGCTGGAACAGGGGTGCTGGAAGCAGCGGGGGCAAACCAGCTCGGGCTGGAAAAAGTGGAAGGTATGGCCCTGGACACTTTTTCAGGGTGGGCGAGGGCTCTACCCAAGCGCCGGTCTTGCGGTAGGGCTTCACCACTGGTGCTGCCGAACCCTCGGGGCCCAAGGCACGCAATGGCGGGGGAAGGCGGCACGCAAGGCGGGCGCGCCCGCTGGCCAGGCCGGGCGCCTTCCCGCCCTCCTGGCTCCTGCCAAGAGGGGGACTGGCCGAAGAGAGCTTGGCGGCGCGCAAGAGGGGGTAGGGGGAGGGGGAAGGCTTCTTAGAACCACCCCCTGCCTCTTAGAAGGCCTCGGCCTGACGCCTGTGGAGGAGGCTTCGCGCCTTCTAAGAAGCAGGGGTGCTTCTAAGAAACCTTCCCCCCCCCCCTACCCCCCTCTGCGCGCTGCCGAAGAGCTGCCCCTGGATCAGTCCACGCACGGCAGCGCCGAGAGGCCCTCGACGATGGGCGGAGGAGGGCCGCTCGAGGCAGCGGCGGCTCTCCCTGCCCGCCCCAGGCCAGCTCAAAATCCGTCCAAGGACCCTTGCATGGGGCCCCCCCTCCTCCTCCTCCTTCCGCCTCCTCCCTCCTCCGCGCCCCCCCCCCGCCTCCTCCGCACTCCTCCTCCTCCTCCTCCTCCGCCTCCTCCTCCTCCTCCTCCCTTCCCATCCTCCTCCTCCCCCCTCCTCCTCCTCCTCCTCCTCCTCCTCCTCCTCCGCCTCCTCCTCCTCCTCCTCCGCCTCCTCCTCCTCCTCCTCCTCCTCCCTCCTTCTCCTCCTGACCCGTTTTTCGAGGCAGGTCCAGCCGTGGGGGCGAGAACCTGCCCAAGGAGGGCTGCCGCTGCCTCTCGGCGGGCTGGCCCCCCTCCGAGGCTGGGCAGCGGGAACCACACCAGCAGCTTGTGGAGGATGCCCTGCGGCGGAGGCTGCAGCGCCACCTCCCCCCGCTCGCACGGCCGCCACTCCGCCGCACCGCGCGGGCGGGAGTGGCAACTGCCGCCGCCGCGGCCGTCCTCCTCCACGTGCACCTCGGACGCCACGGCGCTGCGGCGCCACGCCTCGTCGCCGACGACGCCCGGCAGGCGCTCGTAGCGCAGGGTGAAGGGCTCCCCGAGCGCGCGGGCCTCCGCCAGCATGCGCCGCAGCTGCATCGCCGGCACCGTGTACCTGGGGAAGGGCGTGCCGCTCTGCGTCGGAGCAGGGCCAGCCGAAGCAGCGGCGCCACCCGCTCGCGCTCTTCAGCCTCCTGGGCCTCCCGGGGGCTTCCCGTCGCCACGGCTGGATGCGCCTCGAAAAACGGGTCAGGAGGAGGAGGAGGAGGAGGAGGAGGAGGAGGAGGAGGAGGAGGAGGAGGAGGAGGAGGAGGAGGAGGAGGAGGAGGAGGGGGGGCCCCATGCAAGGGTCCTGGGGATGGATCCCAGGACGGGTTTTGAACGAACTTGGACTGGGCGGGGCGAGCCGCCGCTGTCCCAACTGGCCCTCCTCCGCCCTGCGGGGTCCAGTGCGGGCTCTGCGAGCGGGTGGCGTGCCCCAGCATGGCGTTCACCGTGGGCGCGTACTCCCGCGCCGCGTGTCCCCCGCTGCGCAGCAGCGAAACCACGCGCGGAGGGAGCTCGTGACTGATGTCGCCCGGGTACAAGGCGTTCATGTGCTCGCTGGTAGACTCCACGACCCTCACGACGCCCCCGCCGAACTCACCGAGCACCGACGAGGACGGGTCCGCCTCGGCCTGCCACTCGAGCAGTAGCGAGGTGGGCATGAAGAGGTGGTTGGAGCCCCCGTGCTGGCGGATCATGGAAAACGGGCTGGCGGCGTTCATGTCCATGAGCCCCAGGGCCTGGAACAGGAACACGTAGGCCACAGTGCACGACAGCGCCGCAGCGCCGCCCGCGTGGAGCAGCGCGCGGCGGACCCCCACTGGCGCGCTGGCGGCCTCTGGGCACGTGCCCTCCGCACCCGCGTCGAGCGCCACGGCGCGCAGCGCGAGCAGGCAGAGGGCCGTCTGGTAGGGGATGTTCCAGTCTATGTACATGAAGGGGACGGTGGAGAGGCTGCAGGAGGCCGCGACAAGCGCCCCAGCGCCTGCGCGGGCCAGCAGCCCCAGGGCCGCGGCGGGGGGCGAGGCCGCCTCGCGGATCGAGGCTGCCCACGCCTCGGGCATGCAGAGGAAGGCCCTCGCAGTGCAGAAGGTGCCGAAGGAGGGCACGGAGTTCGGGTACGGCGACACGGCGATCCCAAAGTGCAGCGCCGCGGCGAGCACAATGCCGAGCCGTCGAGCCGGGCGACTGGTGGTGACGAAGCATAGGCCGACGACGATCTCCCCGGCCGCCGTCGCGAGCGGCGCCGCGGCGAACGCGGGGCGGAGAAGCCCGTCCAACACGAGCCGCTCCGGGAGGAGAGAAAGCAACGAGGCCACGTAGATCGTGGCGCAGGAGTTGCTCGCGTCGAGGAAGTCGGTGTTGAGCTTCCAGAGCCCCGCGCCGATGTAGAAGAGCCCGAGCTGCACCGGGACGATGCGGCAGCACTGCTGCACCACCGCTCCCTCCGGGCACAGCAGCGTGGCGCCGGCGAGCACGAAGTCGAGCAGGATACCCCACCAGCACGCGTCCCAGATGTACGGGGCTTGCGCTACGCTCATGGCTATCCGCGCCCCCAGCGCTGCAGAGAACGTTGCGCGGCACGGGCATGCGAGGGCGACGGCGGCGACCGCCGCGCACAGGTACATCCACTGAGGCCCCGGGAAAAGGAACGGCTGGGTCCATAGGGACAGGGCCTCGGTCGCGACCCACAGGCGCGCGTAAGTGGCGAAGAGCGCCGAGCTGGACATGTGCGCGGTGCGCGGCCGACGAGGCGCCCAACAGGGGGGGGAAGACTGGCCTGAGCCAAAAAGCCCACGGACCCTTGCATGCGAGGCGGGAGCATATCCGTGTCCACCGCCAGTGGAACCGACGTCCTGGGACCCCTGCGGGCGGTGGATGTGGCTACATGTTGGCCGCGGGGGTCCCGAATATACATCCATGTCCAGTGTCTGCCGAAGTCCCCGAGGGTTGATGCCCTGGTCGGTGGTTATAAGCAAATCCCCGCCTCGGATTGCAGGAGGACGAGGGGGGCACAGGGAGGACCTCTCCCAGAGCGCGCTCTCACCAGGGCCCTGATGCGAATCAGGCCGTGGCAGCGTGGACCCCCGAGGAGGCCACGAAGGGGCAGGAGAACGCGGGACCCCCTCCTCCTCCTCCTCCTCCTCCTCCTCCTCCTTCTTCTTCTTCTTTCTCCTCCTCTTCTTCCTCTCCTCCTCCTCCTCCTCCTCCTCCTCCTCCCTCCTCCTCCTCCTCCTCTTCCTCCCTCCTCCTCCTCCTCCTCTTCTCTCCCTCCTCCTTTCCCCCTCCTCCTCCTCCTCCTCCTCCTCCTCCTCCTCCCTCCCCCTTCTCCTCCTCCTCCCCTTTCTCCTCCTCCTCCTCCTACTCCTCCTCCCTCCTCCATCCTCCTCCTCCTCCCCCTCCCCTCGCCGTCGTTCCCATCCCTCTCTCTTCCCTCATCCTCCGCCCCTCCTCCTCTCCTTCCTCCTCCTCCTCCTCCTCCTCCTCCTCCTCCTCCTCCTCCATTCCTCCTCCCTACTCCTCCTCCTCCTCCTCCTCCTCCTTCCTCCCTCCTCCTCCTCCTCCTCCTCGCCGTCTGGGCTGGGGCCCGAGCAGACGCACCCACACGCCCCAGCTGGCCAGGAGGGTCTCCGCGAACGGCCCGCCGTGGCCGTGGCGAGCCGACGGCACCCCGCGGCACCAGCGAGGGCGCGCGCACCCCGAAGGCGACCGTGGCGGCCGCGCAGGAATCCATGCCGCTCTTTCTCCCTCGAGACGCGCGCGGGCGGTGAAGAAAAAGCCTCCGGACGACGTGGTGCCCGGTGGCGCGGGAGCTGCCCGGTGCCCAGCAGGCGGGGCGCCGAGCGACAGTCACGCCGGCCGCGGGGCAGCGTCGCGACGCCCGCCCCGCCGTCGGAGGCGCGCCCCCAAAGAGGCCTCGTCGTCGGCGTCGCTCGTCGTCGTCGTCGTCGCCGCCGTCGTCGCTCGTTGTCGCCGTCGCCGTCGTCGTCGTCGTCGTCGTCGTCGTCGCCGCCGCCGCCGCCGCCGTCCATCGTCGTTTGTCGTCGTGGTCGTCGTCGTCGTCGTCGTCGTCGCAGCCGCCGCCACGGAGGCCGCGAAAGACGGGCAGGAGGACGGGCAGAAGGTGAGGAAATACAACGGCTGGGGGAGCAGAAGGGGCCGAGCCCGATCCCACCCCGACTGGAGCGGGGGCAGAACCTTGGAGTACCCGCACACAGGGAGCGACAACGAAGACGACGACGACGACGACGAGGAGGACGAGGACGGCGACGGCGACGACGAGGACGACGGCGATGACGTCCTGAGCATGACGGACACGCAGATTGCGCCTGCGAAACCGCCTCGGGCGAAGGCTGAACTAAACGAGGTTCCGACAATCGCCGCGGCCGACCCCAGAATCAGCATCAACACCAACACCCTTTACCTCACTTTACTGACCAGTGGCCACATGTCCAGGCTCGACCTCAGCATGATGCCCACGAAACGTGCGAAAGCGTTAGTCATCATGGGGCGAGCCACCGTGCGGAAGCAGCCACTGGGGCCTTCGGTGGAGCTCCCTGCGGGGCCACGGCGCGTGAGGGGTGCGCCGCCATCGGGCGAAGCATCGTGCGGACGCAGCCACTGAGGCCTTCGGCGGCGCTCCGTATGGGGCCGCGAAGCGCGGCATGGGCGATCCGAACGGGGGCGGCCCGCCATGGCGGCGCAGCCAGGGTGCCTTCGGCGGAGCTCCCTGTGAGACCACGAGGCGCGTGGATGGAGGTGATGACGGCGATGATGATGACGATGATGATTATGGTGGTTGTGGCGATGGTGATGCTGGTAGTGATGATGCGGATGATGACGACAACGATGACGGTGACAACGAGGATGGTGGGCGTGATGGTGATGATGATGATGATGATGATGATGATGATGATGATGATGATGATGATGATGATGATGATGAGTGGTAATGGTGGTGATGATACTGATGGCGGTGGCGATGATAGTAGTAATGATGATGATGATGATGGTGATGATAATGACCACGATGATGTTGTTGATATTGATGATGGTGATGATGGTGATGATGATGGTGGTGGCGGCGATTTATCAAGCGGGCCGATGCTGGCGCCCATGACAATCGATGAACAGCAAATCCGTGAGTGACTGTCTCAGCGAGCGAGTTAACTATGATAGCGGGTTACACACACACACACCAGCTGGCGGCGCGCGCCAGCGAACCACCTCAGACGGGTGGGCGCCACAGGGGGGACACAAAGCAGGCACCGCCGGCAGGAGGAGGAGGGGCGGCCGATCGCGCGATCAGGCCTCGATTAAGGCCACAAAAGAAACCCCAGGAAGGACAGGGGTGAGCGGCGGCGGCAGCAGCGCAATGAGCCTTTAACGCGCCCCGACCTCGCACAGGCGTGGGTAGCAAGAGCGGGCGGCAGCGAACGGGGAGACTCAGCGTAGTCGCAAGCTGCAAGCTGCTGAGTTGCAGTGCGCCTGCAATTGCACTCCACCGAACACACCCAGAGGCTCTCGGCGAGGCTAAGCCCCACAGACGAAACTCCGACGGTCAAGCGAGCACGCAGGGACAGCGGCGGGCGGACTCGCACTGAACTGCAGCTCCACCGAGAGAGGCGCGAGCAAAACAGCAGAAGAAGCGAGAGAGGCGGCGGCGCTAGAACAACGGCGTCATTCCAAACTGATTTCGAAGATGCAGCACAGCTACAAGGATAGGAGGGTGGCGTTGCGTGAGCAAGCGGAGACGGCCCTCGAACACCTGCTCGGGAAGGGCACCCGCAGTCGGAGTACGAAGGAGGGAACTGCGAATGCCGCATGGGCGGCGCTCTCGACAGGTGCACACAAAGCAACGCCACGTGTTGCGCCGGGGGCGGCCCCATCAACGCAACAGAGGACGGGGAAGGGGGGGCGAAGCCGAAGAAGACGACGCTTGGGGCCCAAGTCGAAAACAACGCAAGAGCGAGGACAATGCAGACAGTGGCACTGATCGTCACTGCCATGTCCACAGCCAAACAAGCACGGCTGGGGAGACACGCGGGACCTCGCAGAAATCCAAGCCCCACATCAGAGGAGAACCTTAAAACAACCACTGCTGAAAACAGAGCAACGCCGCAATGGAATCTGAAAAATCGGAAACCACACGCCAGGGGCAAGAGGAATGGGGAAGCCATGTCAGCACTCTCCTGGGAACTTCGCCAAATTTCACGCCAGGACCCTCAGAGCCCCTCAGCGCTTTCACGAGTTGCGCTTGCGACGCGGCAGCAAGATCAGCAACGACATGTCTGACTATCGGCAAGAGCTCCGTCACTGCGACAGACGTAAGTGACAGGAGCGAATTCGCAAGCCACCCTTGCGCCGGACGCGCAATAATGATATACACACACAGAAATGACGCGGGCGTCCGCGAGGGCGGTCTGGTTGGTCTGCCAGGCAGGAGACCGCGGCGTGTCCGAAACGCCGACGCTTTCGCAGTATGCCCGATCGACGCGCAGCGCGCATTGCACCCTGCATCACCCAGGGGGGAGGGGGAGGAGGAGGAGGAGGAGGAGGAGGAGGAGGAGGAGGAGGAGGAGGAGGAGGAGGAGGACGAGGAGAGCCGCATCATCTTACTACTGTAACTGCAGCGAGGGCCAACGCGAAGGATCTAGGGAGCACGGTCTTCTAACTGACAGGTGGGCCATCGGCCGACGGAACGGGAGCGCGCAGCTCGGCGCGGACGCGGTGCGAGTGCCGCGCGTCGTGGGGAAGCTGCGGCGGCGCGCCCCGGGGCCCGCGGAGACCCCAGAGCACCTGCGCCATCGAGCAACCTGGACAGATTCTCATCCTCTGCCCACGGGTCCCAGGAAGGCAGCAAATAGGGACAGGCCACCCAGAACGCCGCGCTCCAGGACAACGCGTTCACCACAGCGCGGCCCCGAGCCGACGGCGCCCGCGAGGAGGCAGATCTTCTCGAAGACAGATCGCAGATCAGGCGGCACGTTCGCCAGACGGAACCCGGAGTCACCCGCGCATCCTGAGAGGCCGAACCCGGGAGAACCTGAAGCCGGGAACCACCGACGGACTGGGCCCAGCGCAAGAGCAACGGAGAGCATCGACGCTGGATGCCCTCGGCGGGCCCCCCGACCCGCGCGGGAGGAAGCCAGAGGAATGCACCCTGGAAGCACTGTCCCCGCAAAGGTTCCCAAAGGATTTCGCGGCCCGGAACAGGGGCCCCATCTTTTCTGGGGCGGACGGCGCCCGCTCGATCAACGAGCTAGGAAGCGCAGCCTTGAGGCCAGTCTAGGGCCGAGCCAGATCATCGCGCCCCGCCCAAGGGGCAAGCACCCAATCAGCTTCACGGGCAGTGATGTTGCCCAGGATCGACCGACCAGGCACGCCTCCAGACCGCAAGGACGCGAATCGACCGAGAACGCTGACTCTGGTCAGAAGGTTGGGGGCGGCAGCGGCGGTCAACTTGCAGCCGGCGCATCCCATAAACGGAGGACGAGGGGAGGAAGGCTCGCGGGCAGGCGCAGCAGAATCATCAGACGGATGGCTCCCGCTCGACGAGGACACCGCGAGCATGTCGCGAGCGCCGGCAGGAGCAGGGGGGCGAGGGCAGGGCACGCAGTGGGCTAGTGCAGCATGTCACGCGCGCCGTCGCGCTTCCAGCATCCACGGGGCAAACCATCAATCCCGGACATGGAGTCCCCAGAACGCTCCACGAGTTCAATGAAATCTGACAGGGTCAACTTCCACTCAAGATCAGGCATGGGAACATCAGCGCGCGGGATGAGCTGTAGCGGGGTGCCCCACAACGCGCGATCAGGCACGCGCGGCGCCGCGCAAACGCCAAGCATGCTGCGCAGAATCAC